GTGATAATTTTCGCCTTAAAATCCTTTGGATATTTTCAGACTTGAGTATAGTTGAATATTCACGAAGCAATCTCGTACAACAATAAGCAATGAGCCGATTTGGCAATGGTGGAACAGAAGGTCGCGCACACCTGAAGGTCGATGGTGCACCTACGTAGATTTGCACAAGTTTGTCTCCTGCATCATGTAAATCAATGAGACATGACCAGACGGCCTTAGGTTTTCTTGCTGTTGTTTCAAACGAAAATGTCCGCTCTGTTTCTTTCCTGCTCTGGCATGCCAACAAATGGCTTAGCCCCTCATAGGTCTTGTGCGCTAAATAGCATTTTATTGGTTTCCCAGTTGCACATTTTGTCAGAGAAAAAACGATCTTCGAAATCATCTCAGATCATAATAAACACAATTAGGTCGTGTGGTTTATGGTAACCCTGGTGATTCAGTAAACGCTCTTGATTTCTAATGAAAAAAATGTTTCCTTGAGCAAATCTACTCATTTCGTGATAACATTCTCGTATATTTCTCACCACTTATTTCGAACATTTTGCTATTCTTCAGCGTTTATGTTCCACGTAATTTGGCTTCTCACTTCTCCGTTTTTGCATGAGCTGTTTAAAAAGCTCTCCGTTGCCCACAACGTGAAGTGAACAAGCGCCTCACTTTCGGGTTCGTACACACACACATTTATATCTAACTTGCAAACGGTTACTTAATCACCAAATTCAAGAATTGTTCGGGTTCACTAGTGCACTTTCCAGGCTCCGATGAATAAATGGAAATCTGTAAGCATTCTAGGTCCTTGCCTAAAACGCCATTCGTCACCGGAAATCCTCACTGACAATGTATCCCCACATAAACACCCCACATTGTATGCACTACGCCAGCGTTCAAGGAATTACATTTATAAAATCTAAGATGCTTGACTCCAGATGCGTTGAAAACCCGATTTCAGTTTTACCGGGTTGCTGCCGCGTTAAGTTTCCAATAATTTGTTTGAAATCCTGTCCATGCGGTCTATACGTTACTCGCACCACTACAATATTTATTCTGCTCGCAATCCTATGGCAAACGTAAGGGTGTGTTCTCGATTCTGATATGATCGGACGTCATTAGAAAATTATTTTACGTAGCAACAGTCTTGTGTGCTGACCTATATCTCCCGAAAAGATATTTAGGGTTGTCTTGATAAAATTAAACAACTAAATAAGATCATAAATGAACTAGCCACGTCTTTCTAATCAAACGCATGCCTCTGTTCGTAGGCGCTCTTTTCGTAGAATTGTCGTCGTTTTTTCCAAGCTTTCAGCGAAAAGAAAGAACGAGCAACGGTGTTTATGAAGGGATATTTTGCGGCTGAGTTGTGCAAATCAATAAGCAAGACAGCTTTGGTAAGCTTACACCTTTCAGTTTGTATGCATGCTAGTTTAAGCGTGCACTTGAAGCGGCTCACAGGTTATTTCATGGTTGGAATTCGTTGGCTTAATAAAGGATTGATTTAAGTTAGTAACAAATAAAACAACCATCCCAAGGGGTAAGCAGCATGACGCGACATGCATAAATCTGCCGTCGAAAAAGCGTTTTATTATAGTGATCAAAATACGCTTGGTGAATTTTTCAAAATGAGAAAATGAATGCACATTCTGAAGAACGTTCTTCGATATATTTCGGTTTGCCTCTTCTATAGTAAGCAGCCAAATATAAAGCATTCATTTTTAAATATGACGGTAAACACAAACCCTCCGGTCAAATTTCATTCATTTTATTCAAACTGAAGTGAGGAAGCAAGTCCGTTTATTGTGCTGACGAAAAAAATAACAAATTGCTGCCTAGCATTCTCATGTTTGAAAAATTTACCTGATATTCCATCCTAAAAACCCAATCTTTGTTGCCTTATGTATAGGTTATTATGCATAGACTGAGTTCTGGGTGCAAGAACTTTTGGCACATAGTTAGGAAAATACGAGTACAAATTGAGACTCACTTGGTGGGGTGTGTGCATAACGACACAATCCTGGGAATATTGCATGCGGATTGTTAAACAACCACATTGTCAGTCAAAATATTTTTCCCAATTTTCTGGCTTACAAATTTTCGATGAGACGCAACGTGAGACGCGATGAATGGCTGATCTCTTGCGAGTCCGAAAATTGTATCCGCCTTATCGACGCAATCTGAATCACTCATCCGAATTGTTCAAGATCCGTGAGAATATTATCTCTGGTCAACAGTCTGTGAAACCACGCAATGCCAGCAAACGACTCTGCGTTTTGGCGAACGCATCCAATATTTCTGCGACCAGTTGAAAAAAATCTGCAAAAGATCATCTATTGACAATATTGCTGACAAAGCCTCCTCGCATTTCCTTGAACACTGTGCGTCTGAATTAAAAATATCGAAATACTGTCTTCTATAAGAGGCTCATATTTCCAGGGGAAAAGTCGTCATTGTAATTGGGCGATAAGTGGTAAACCCAGTTCCTCTGGAAGCGGATTTTATCTGCTAGTTGTGCAATTGTTTCAGCAGTTTTCTCAAAAATTCATCAACATGCAAAATTATGGGTAACGCGTATTTCTATCAGACAAAGCCACACTGCCATGTGAAACTCACGTATGCAAATTGGATAGTCGCCGCAGTTTACTGTGTCCGTTAGGAATAGGGATTGGATGTTTCATTTATGTATGCCTTTGGGAAACTTTTCTGTGGATGTCTCCTACAATCGAGCCTCAAAAACGTTTTTCTTAGTGCAAGGTGATCAAACTGATTATACTTACCAATGCAACGTTGGAGAGCGTCGACCCAGCATTGACCTGGAGATAAGCGTTGCGACGGGAAGTTGTGAGCATGTTGTGTAATGACAATAACAAAAATTCATTTTCGTTATTTAGACCCATTTTGACATAATGGTCTCAGATTTAGGCATAAGTAAATGAATGATGACCGCATGTTTTGGAGGATTGGCGGTAAAGATGAATCACGGACAAATTGGCTCCGTAAAACTCAATTATGTAGAGTTGTTTGTCGGCGTGCACAGGAACGTTTACGTATATTATTGCATGGTGTGCCATAAATAATTTTATGGTCTGCCACCTGATCACCCCTTGGATAAGAAAACTTGTAAGGGTATTCAAAACTCCATTTCACTGCTGGCAGCACGAATTCCAGCCCAATATATAAAAAAGGTTAGTTCTTTTATATGCGACAGATAAGGTAAGTTCAATGGAATGTGATTCAAGAAAATTAAACTGTAAGTTCTTGTAGTACAATCATACCTTCAAATGCACCCGTAGGCCTATGAATTTGTTCTTAATCCGCGCAAGAATCAACGATTTCTGTGCCCCTTTAGAAAGTGAAAACTTGCATCAAACTAAAATGTTCATACATTACGCACCAGTTCAACCACGATTTATATTATATGGCAATATTGCATGACTTTAAGCAGCTAGATAAACAGCCTGTTATAATTGTGCAGTATTCTTTTACCTTATTGGGACAGGGTAGTACCCAAAACGTTCGCTGGTATTTATGGTGCATACAATACATAGCAAACACCAAGAATAACAACGTGACAATCACAGTATCAACATACGTGTTAGTACGGCGCTCTCCTTGTGTTTTCCTAAACATGATGCCAAGTGAAATCATAAACGGTGAATCTGGAAACATTTGTCACAGAAATCCAAAACGAATGCTTATGCTTAACCTATGAGGAAATCCCCAATCAAGGGCTTTATTTAGTCTTTCGGTGCGCTCTATTGCGCAACCAGAAGTTTACTTTTTGGAAGATTAAAGCCCAAATTTTCATTTGAAACTGCCTAACTTATTTGGTAGGGCATCGTTAGTTTTCGTTTATCCAATTGAGAAATAATCAAGAATGTAGTATCTCCCAAGAAAGCACTCAAGTCTTCAAAGTTTCTTATATGAAGACACCGTGGATTTAATCATTGGTAAATACAATGCTCTCTGATGAATCAAAGTATAACACGCAGGGCTACAAAATATATTCTTTACAGGACAGATCAGGCGAAAGAATTTTTTTCAAAAGCAGCACTAAACTAGACTGCGGTGTAATGAGAATCGCCCCAAATTTATCCTATCTGATTCCAAAATTGACGTCGTCACTGAGCATTTTGGATCAAAGGATTCAACTCACCTAAGCATCGATTTTTCTCTTCTAAGTTGCACTTGGCTAGGGGCAAAAAATGCACTGATGATGAAATTGTTACCGGAGCTTGGGTTTCAAAAATTATACGTATGCGGAAACAATAATACATGAAAATGCACCGCAATTTCAATGACGTTTATGAAATAGTAATTTTCTAACTAATGGTCTGCGATATATTTATATATTGTTGTATATTTACAGAGCATATTTTATAAAGTTACAAACGTAATCCGACAGGCGTCTACTTTAATTGTTTCCGCGACTGAAACGTGATGGCTCAATTTATTAGTCTTATGCAAGGCTGACAGTTTTGAAACCACAAAACGTCCAGAGCGAATCGTTCCCGTATTTTACTTTTTACAGAATTTACATGTACTACGATGCATCTTCTTTCAGTTTTGAAAAATATTTTTGGCCAAACCAATTAGGTAGGGGTCAATGACGGAATCAAACCCTAATTTAGTCCGCAGTGACTGGCAAATTGTCTGCAAAAATTGAAATGTATCACCATGTTGAGCTTTGCCGTTCCATGTAAAGCGGAACAATTATCCGCTTTTCTAAAACCGGGGGAGAAAACATTATAACTTGGAACATCACTTTGAAGAATATGTAAGCGTTTATAAAATCTTCACAGATTACAGTGTTGTTGATGGCAGAGCCTTATTTGATATCTTGTTTAAGAACACATTTTGGTTGCTCGATACTAATTTGTCACACATTGAACATCCAGGAATCATGGTTTTTTTGCATGCTAAACATTGCTTTTGAATTTCCTTGGTTATGGCACTTACAGTCATCTTCATGAGGATCCTCTCCACATGCTTCTGTTAATATTGGTCCCAAGTGGTGAAAGTGAGTCAATTATGATCGCGTTGTTGCGTTGTTGTTCATGAGGAAATCCAGTGGTTGACAAATTTGATAAGTATTTCGTCGGTACAATGAATAGACAAAGGACAAAGCGTGACTAGTTACAGTCGCAAACTAGAGGCGTTGAGGCAAAATAGGTGACCGCCAGAAACAATACGTGAATTAGTGAGTCCATCTTGTTTGGTGCAAACCACGAATTGCTGTGTCTGTTTTACACACGTAGTAACTCCATATCGTGCAGTGTTTGAAGACGGCGTTCAACAAGATTCTGTTTAATTAATGTTGACAAAGAAATGACCGGCCACACCACAAAACAAAAAACAACGTAAATGAAAATACTTACCCATACACAGGTCATATTGCGGAATGCTCCTTGTCAAAACGGATTCCACTAAAATAAATATGATAAAATAAATAAACACGCATAGGTGTTTTATTATGTATACGTCGGATGGTTGTCCGTCGTCCTACAATAAACTCACCTAGGCCAGTTGTAAGAAAAAGTATATATATCAACATCAGTTTTTGTGCTTCAAATTCTTGAAGTGTGCACAGCGGTTGTTAGCATTTTGTTTACTTGGACTTCTTTTATACTGGCCATTATGGCCTTGAAATCAGTAAGCAGCGGTTTACCTGGCCCGGTCACAAGCAATGTGAAAGCGCGCTACGAGAAACTCATTATCCATCGTCGATCTCAAAATTTATTCCGGACGTCCAAAAATATTGTGCAGGTGCAAACGTTAATGATATATAATTTTTGCTTGACTCAGGAAAAGAGAATGTTTGCGATAATTCTTGTGTGGTTCATTGTAGAACTTCTTTTTATCCATTATATTAATTCCGTCAAAATTTGTACTCGTGATCACTTTGGAATTTATATATCGGATTTGATCCATAATGGTGGTAAATACATGAAGAATATTTGCATTTCAAGAAAGCATAGGAATCCTGGAGGTGGTTTTAAATACGGGCTATACTAGGATGCAATTCAATCACGTTTATATGCGGAATGTTTTAAGTTTTATAAATCGAAAATGTCAGCGGATAGAAAATACAGTGTGCCGTAATTGAGGAAAGCAACTAAACATGCTTCCACAATGATTAAAATGGAAGAATATGGAAGGAAATATCGAAACCATTGCCAAAGATGAATGAAAATCCTCCAGATGCCAACAGTTATCACCTAGGTAGAGCAAACAAGATTTACGCAAAGGAAGTGAACTCAAGTGGGTAGCTTTAAACCTGTCTAGCAGACCGGGTTTCCAGATCTGAATTCGTTCTGTATACCTCTGAACATCTTCCGAGTTTTGAGGGATAATTACATATTGTTAAAGTCAACGTATTATCAAATAGTACCCTTCTGGGCCTAAATAGCTGGCATAGCTGATTTTAGGAAAATTATGTAAGTGTGTAAATTTTTTTTCAAAACGGCCTATACAGGCTTGCAATACCAAATAAAATTTGAACTAGCGGTACGTCGGAAAAATTGAAATTTATGAGTTCTCTTACTCAAATTCAAGTGTACGCATTTGCTATAATGCGTCAATCCTGGGTCAGGCATTGTGCGGTAAATACGATCACGGCGGTGAGTATCGGTACGGGCAGTATGCCTATTATGTCATCATCAACAACAGCATCAACGAAAAATCCAGCTTAGTTCACCCAAACACCATATATGTATACTAATAAGATTTGCTTGCCAAAATCTGTCCAATCTAGGTTCGGGTCGAATATAAGGTTGACGAAAAACCTGGGAACGCATTAATTTGTTGAGCAGCATCATGGCCTGCGAATAAATTTTCAGCAAACCTGTGAGTAGTGTAACATGTCTATAAATCTACTGAGCCATTTGACAAACTTAGTTCAAAATGAGCACAGAATGAGACTTAAAAACGAAGGTTTACCTTATCATCGCTAATGGCAGTAGGTTTAGAGGAAAACTTAAAACTCTTAAAGTTCAACCGTAATGGGAAGAGTAACAGTTAATCCTACGACTAGCGGTTAACCGCAGAGGACAATTAGACACAAAGTAAGCTGATTTTGCATCCAGAAATACAACATAACTCCCGCAACAATTTTCTTCAAACTAAAAGGCAGTTACTTGCAATGATGCAGGCTCCATGGAATACTCGAAAATCACTTTTAGGAGCTTTTTCACATGTAAGAGACAAGCATGTGATAAGAATGAAAACTAGCTGAGTGCACTTCCTTTCAAAGGCATATATACAGATTTTACTCTACTCAGATCAATTGTAAGTTAACATTTTGATGGCGCTTTGCGCTGCGCTCAGCCAGAATGATGAAAACTAGTTGTCCGAGGCGCCCTACTAGACGTCAGAAGCTTAAACATCCACCGGACGCTTAACCAGGAGTGAGATGTCACAAACGGAAAATTCTTCATGGCAAACCAATCACGTTTAGGAGTTTTCGATATCGCGAAGCACATAGGATTGTTTGTGGCCCATATAAGATTAACCTAAGACTCTTTGCAATGCAACTATAAAAATGCACAATTCAGGGCATGCGGTTCAGTCGCACGGATTACGTAACTGCGTTTTTACTTAAAAATCTCATTTTCATCACCGAACTTCATGTGGTTTTCATTGTGAGAATTTTGTGAAAAAAATCCGAATACATCAATTATATTTCCACACGTGTCCCTGGTTAGTGCCGGCAAACGCTCAGCATTTAACTTTTGTTGGCTGGTTTGCCAATGTATGTCGTATGTGCGAGCTTGAAATTAATTAAGCCGCAGGACTTGCAGCAAATTCCTGAAGGACTACATGATTTGCGTGAAGTTTTATCATTTTCTCGGTTGAAACTCCCACAATCACCGGGAATCCGGTACTGCATGCGAAATATTGACTTATCACGCCGACTGCCGACACGTCCCAGTGTGCTCTCGATCTTTTCAACTATTTATCATATTGCTCTAGCTTGCATGCAATCGGCAGGCATTCATTGAAGCTCGTTCCCTATGAGGCGATCGAATATGTATTTTGTACGAAAATTGTTAGCTCGCCTTTCACATACTGTATACTTTTGCTGTATATTCAAAAAACGTTTATCATTTATACATATATGTTGCCTTTTTGGGACACAGTTCAGGTGAGATTATTTCTTTTAGCATCGCTTATTAAATCAGTTACCAGTAACAATTACTTATGTGCCATTCCTTTTCATCCTTCGAGGTTTACGCAAATGTGTTTGAGGCCTAGTTATTACATTAAGATTGCATTAAATCCGGTCTGTAGAAGCTTTTGGCCAAAATGACTTCCAGGATCAAATATTCATTTCCGTACAACATCATGTTTTGGCGTCCCCTTCTGCTTAGATATATGCGGCATCTCTATCAAGACTATGGATTTCAACAAAACTTACCGCGATAAAAGCGTAATAGCGTAATAGCTTAATGCCTAACCAGACGACATTTCTCGGTAAACCATTTCAGTAGATTGACAACGTTAAGTGCTGCATAAATACATCTACACATTCAACGCTAGATGTATGTTATCACCACAGCATAATCTAGCATCTGAACAATTTCGTAGACAGGTCTCCTGGTGTCCACTAAACTAAAATAGCTTATTTTGACGATAATTGTCATGTAAGCTAACGGCTAAAGCACGCAGTTATGCAACGATCAACATTGTGAAAGTGCGTTTGCACTCTTTCTTGAAAGCACAGCTCATGATTCACAAAAAACTGGCAATCGTTTTTCTTCAACACGCAACGAAGCACACTACAACTTCAAAAACCACGGGTTGAACACTTTCAAACGTTTCTCGTTCTTAGCTTCTTCATTCCACTGGGAAGAATGTGTCTGTGAATTCATCAACCGAACTCAGAATTGCCAGTTCACATCATATAAGCTCGATACCATTTGCTACTCCAAAAATATAATCACTCGTTTACGTTTAAGTATGAATGAACTTCCATACCTCAGACCAGTCGGTGCACAATTAGCTTCCTGACCAAGTTTCAGATAAATATATATGGTTTTCTTGTTTACCGCAGTAGTTTCCCAAACAATAATGAGAGGGTTTTGCTGAATTACTACATTTGTGCTAGTTTATTTTGCTCTGGATGGACGTCCGAAATGTAGCCATATTTAGCGCGCTAAAGTTGATGATCAAACTTTGAATGTGTTGCAGAAATATATGAATCGGTCATGAAACTCCTTGCATGGTGGTTATTGGCTTTTTGCCACGGCTCGATGTAAGTCTCAATTCGCGACCCATGAAATCTCTAGGCTTGATGGTTGCCTCATTTGTTTAAGGGGAAATGTCAAAGTTAACAACGCAAATTTTTCACCACAAATTGGTCAAACCTCACTGATTACACAGAAGTGTGTGTGGTAGCGCAGGTCTCATATTTCTGGCACTGTCACTGCAGGCTACAATCCTGCCTTAACCGGTAGGCCGTTCCTTTGACTTTAGCAGCCCATTTATACTATAAACAGCACCAGAAGACCAGACCTGATTTGATGGAACAAGTGTTCAAAAACCAATTTTATGTGTGAGTGAAACCTGAAACGTTTTCTTTCTAAGATTTTGTGCGCTTATTTTAGAAACGTTTATTCCTATGTTTCTTCAGACAGAAATCAGTAGCTTCCAACTACGCTTCCTTTAAGCTCGAGTGTTATCGACTAAAACGCGGACATTGCACAAACGTTGGGCGCACCATGCTGGAATTGGAAATTGTGATGTTTTCCATGAACCACACTCACAATATATTTTATTCATTGCATATTGCCACAAGTTTCTTGCGACCGCATTTTGTGTTAAACTGAGTATGTGTATTTCCAGTAAACTGTCCTTCACTCAGCAGGANGAATATATCGCCTTTGATCCATTCAGTTCTTAAGGGACATGTCCGATGAGGCAGGTTAAGCGCAAACAACATTGTGAATAAGCATCTCTTGCGGCAAGCGCGATGGCCAGGTTTACGGAGTATTGCTGGTTACCACGTTCCTTGCCAAATACTTTTGACATGGTTATTTGTATCATTTATTTCAGCTCCGTGATGGGTACCAGCCGTAAGCCAAATCTTAATAAACTATGGCAGCACCATCATCATAGTCCATTTTGGCCAAGCGAAAACGTTGAGTTGCAAATTGGTTTCAGTAATTATAGTACATCTTTTCATGGAGACAGCAGAGACATGGAATATTGTTTGCGTAAGAAAATTACCGTCAGAATCATCATGCATGGCCGCATTTGTTCATTTTGAGCACGCATTCCACAATATTCCAGCAAACTTGGGCCAGCATCGGTCTAATATTTACGTGTGCGAGGTGCATCGCGTATGAAATGAGCAACTTAGCCTTTCCCTAATAAAGGTTACG